TTTTAGATAGGGTCTCCCTATGTTGCCCAGGTTGGGCTTGAACTCCTAGGCTCAAGGGATCGTCCCACCCCAGCCTACTAAGTAGTAGGGATTACAGGGACATGCCACCATACCTGGTTTATTTTGGCAATTTTATCTAGTATTTCCAGTTCTAATATAAAAGTATATGTTTCATCTGATATTTTTAGGTTGGTGAATATTTACTCATTAATGTAAATCATCAACCTGAATAGTTATTAAACTAAAGTTTACTTGAATTGATGTATTCAAATATGTAATACTGACAGCATCTGGTAATGACATTGCTATGGGATTTAGTGATTAATTCTGTCACATTTATTTCTATAATCATGGTAATATTTTGCTTAGCATCACCTAGAAGATGGAAAATGGTTCATGTCCTATAAGCTTTAGTATCTTTTTACAAATTTTCTACATACCCTGTCCTCTAAAATATATCTAAATATAGCTAAAAATATCTTTAAGTTTTAGAAAATTGTTCTGCAAGTATCTCATTTTCTTAAGTGATCTAAATTCGTTCTTAAAATTGTACTGAGAATTGAATAGTGTACTACAAAGATAACAGTTCTACAAACTTATAATCTGGTAAAAAGAGCTAGACAAAAATAACTATACTACAAAACAAGAAGAAATAAGCTTTATAATCCACACATCCAAGAATGTGCACACTACAAAAAAATAGAGACTAATTGTCTATGGTGTGGTTTTTAAGGTGCGTGTAGAGTGGTTAGAAGTGTGGGGAGAGATATAAATGTTATAATGGAAAAGATGGCATTGAAATGAGGCGTTGAAGGATAGTTATGATTTTATAGCTCATGAGGTCTTTGGTGGTTCTAATACTGAAGATTTCAACAGATGGAGAAGCAGGAAAGAGGTCGTTCTAGGCCAAGGGAATTAGGTATAAGCAATGTCAAGGAGGTGGGGAAGATTAGGGTTGTTTGGGTTCTGAGTATCCCACTGTGACTGGACATCCAGCAGTGGATGATGAGGATGGAAAGGATGATCGGGACTTAATTGCAGAGGACCTTAAGTTCCATGCAGCGAGATTAGACCGTATGCTACAGTCAATGGGTATGCTAAAACTAAAATGATGGAAAGATTATAACTTTCAGAACTAATGTAAAATGAATATAAATATTTATTTCAAGTACAGATAGAAAAGATGTGGCTTAATTTCAGCTCATAATTTAAAAGGCTTAATGGTCTAAACTGACTTTGTCTCAGGCAAACTTGTGATGATAGAATGCCAATAAAGCTTTTGCCACCTTTGCTTAAGCTATTGGAATAATATTTAGAACAAGAGTTTAAGAAACTATTTTATTAGAGTCTCAGGGAAGGGACCTCTAGGGTACAATCTTTAGACAGAGAGATTGATAAGCCAGAATTTGTCTGAAGGACAATGACCAAGATGGGAAAAATATTTAGAACAATGTTTTGCGAGGTATGGTTGTGGGAACCATAATATTTTTGATACAGAGAAGACTGAAGAGGAGGAAGGAAGTGTCTTGATTTGTCTTTGAGGCTACTAAAGAAGCAGAATTTGACTTATTCTGAATGATTGCAGAGCTGGAAACTAAGATTACTGAGTAGAAGTTAGAAGGCAGAGTTCAATTCAATATGAAGTCATTTCTTGTTTGAGTCATTTCTGAAATTAACTAGCCTGCTTCAGGAAGTAATCAATGCACGTGATAAGTGGATATTTGAGCAAAGTATTTGTATATTGGGTAAGAGACATGTAGATGGCAGCCTGCTTACCCTCAAACACAGAGACTCAACTTAGACAATTAAGCATTTCAGAGATCTCTGCAAGAAAATGTTTCAAGAAAAGGAGGGTTATTGTAGAAGTAAAAATCAAATCAAATGCCGTTGCATGTGGAAACTCAAACTTCTTGAACTGAGCAGAACTGTTGGGTCAAAAGTCATATTCATAATGGGTTAAGTGACTGTTGAAAATTTAGTATCCCAAATAATCAACACATTTTTATTGAACCCTTAGGATGTGTAAAACACCGTCTTAGGTGCTAGAGATATAGCAGTGAATGAAACACATGAAAATGCTTGCCTTTGTGGGGCAAGTTAGAAGGTGGAAATGGGATAATTTTTAAATGTTACATATAATAGTAGAAGGTAGTAAATGCTATACCAAAAAATAAGGCAAGAAAGGGAGGTGGAGAATGAGAGTATACAATATCAGAGAGGGTGGTTAGAGAAGACCACATTATAAAGATG